GTTGCACAGGTGGCATCCTATCACAGTTCCTTGCTGGAATTCACTAAGCTCCTGAGAGCGACCCATTCTTTCACAATTGTTTGTAAAAACAGTCTGCATGCCTAAGTATTTGATTTTATATACCTGTGGCCATGGAAGTGATTGGAACACCTGATTCTGATTATTTGGATGGGTGAGCGAATACCTTTGGCAATGTAGTGTATCACTACCTGGAAGAAGGAAATTTAATGACATTTGTGCTCTTGTTATGATAATTTGGGTTCTGCAATCTAAAATCCATTCAGGCATTAGTGAAACTAGAGCGTTCACAAGGTGAACAACCAGATTATGCCTCATACCGTGTTAAAATAAATATGTATGTATGTATGTATGTGTATTTAGTTACTTCAAATTAATGTTAAATCCTGGTGACTCTCTGGATTAGTCCCTGTTGTTTTTGTAGCAAGGTTTGTCAGAAGTGCTTGGTCATTGCCTTCTTCCCTGAGCTAAGAAAGAGAGGGACTTGCCCAAAGCACCCAGCTGGTTTTGTATCTAAGGCAGGAATAGAACTCAGTCTCCCAGTTTCTAATCTGATGCTTCAATTATTACACCAAATCGCCTCTCCTGTTATTACTCAAGTACTTTATGCACAGGATCTTATCTCAAATTCAATATGTGAGAACTGTTTCAATTGCAGGCTGAAAATGCAACTGTCAATGGTAGTACGATGTCATTTGAGCAATGTCGTTGATAGAGGGTTTAAATTGAAGGATTCAATTATGAGCATCATGGTTTCTATAATGATAAAAAAATGATCATGTGTAAATCTTAAAGAAGTTTTAGAACAGCGGTTCTCAGGGGTCACCTAAGACCTTCGGAAAACACATATTTTTGAAAAAATACAGAAAACATAAAATAATTTTATGATTGGGGTCATCACAACATGAGGAACTGTATTAAAAGGTCGTGGCATTAGGAAGGTTGAGACCCACTGTTTTAGAATATCAAAAATAAACATCTGTTTCAATTGCTTACCAGCTGAAACAATTCTAAAACCTTTGTGAAACCAAAAGCCTTCTTTAGGCCTGATTAACTGAAAACAATTTGAAGAAATACAGGAAGTAATATTCTAAACTATATACATAACCAACATTCTAAAACATTCATCAGAACTAGAGAATGGGAAACCTGGAGAGAGAATTTAAAGTTATATAGAACTCATAGAAAGAAATACTATAACCCTCAGGATTTGCTCCAACCCAGCATCGGAAATAATCCTGATAATTTATCAAACTTGAGGCTGGTAATCAGGCTGTTAAAAAAAACACCTACCTTAAACATTTCCCTCATTTATTTAATTTGTTTTAAGATATTCAAAATTTAAGTGTTTGACTTTTTTCAAATTTACAGGCGCATTACTCCAAGCCTTCAAATTTGGATTTCTTACTTGATGGAATATAGGTACAGTATATATTTTCCATTTCAATATTAAGTAATGCAGTTTCTTTAATATTGATCTTCTGAACTACAGTTTGTCATAATTTCTACTCTATCTTAATAAATGCATTATCAACACTGCCCACCAGTCATGAATGAGTGAATGCAATCCCCACAAAACTTGAGTTATTACCAGATATATCTTTTTCTGTAAAAATATAAAACATGCTAAATTTAAATATAATTAAGCTTAAATATTGTTGAAATTATATTTAAACTAATTACTTATGGCTAGGACAGCCCTTTCTCAATAAAGTATTTTTGGCTTCTCAACACTGGAAAATTGAAAATATCATCACAACAGATTATTGGCAGTAGGGAAATTCAAATTTTTAGTTTTTGGGGACTTAAACTCAAAATGCAAAATTAATCCAAATTTACAGAAAAGTTCAAGGCCTTGGAAACATAAAATGGATGTCTAAAAATGTGTTCAGAGTTTTTAAAAAATAACTTTGGGATGCTGGAATCCATATAGAGCCCATACCATTCTTCACCTCTGGTACAGAAAAGCTAACCCTGAAATAGACAAAATATAAATATGGAAGTCTTCCCTCTTTCCATACATTAATTTAATGTATAATACATTCAAGGTGCCTAAATATCTTTCTGTGTGTCTGTGTGTATGCGCGCATGTGCGCATAAATGAAAAATCTAAAAAATATGGAAAACTTCAAGAAGCTTTCTTTTCATAGCTATTTCCATGTCACCATGCAACCAGCTTCATAATACTTTAGTATAATCAAAATTTATGGTAACATTTATTGTTAATGATATAATATTTACATCTTAGCTATGTAACAAATATTATGACAATGACAAACAAAAATATCTAAGAAATGGCAAGGGGAGGTACTGCTGTAAACACCATTCCTAAGTTTTTATTGTAGGTTTCCTTGAGGTCTTTACTGAATCAAAAGACTGTATACAGGCTATGTGTTTCCAATCTAACCTTAAAGGTAGTTTTTATGTGCAATTGGACTTATTCAGATGGGAGAATGGCCAGATAGCCATGAAAAAATATTTGCTCACCAGCAGTAATCTCAACAGTAAATTGTTTACCAATTATGGAGAAAATTCATTGTGAAACTCATCAATCTTATTATGTACCGCATGGTTTTGAAGTCATGAAAGATATATGCTCTAATATAATCCTTCACACTTCTTTAAACATTGAGACATCAATGTTGAGACATCATACAAGAAATATTTGACATCACATCAAGTAGACTTTGAGGACACTAAAGTGAAATATTCACATTACAGTTGCTTCACAAAGATAATTAACTGCCACTTTGTAATCCTGCTTCCCTATTTAATATGTAATAGTCTCATTGAGCTTGTCTGTACAAAAGGCAGAGCCAAATATCTATGAAAAAAGATGAAGCCTGTAATACAACAGACAAAGGTGGATAACTGTATCCATGGTAAGAAAAGTGGTCTTATTATGTAATAAACAAGATTGGTGGTTATAGCCATGGTGAGGAGATAAAGTTATCAGGAAAGAGCTTATCATGTAGCAAGCATAGGGACTTGGGCTTACTACTGAAGACCAAAAACAGCCCAACCTCTTCTAGAAGACAAGAACAAAGCCCAGTTACTGTTCGTACCAAAGATGAAGGTAGATGACAGAACTTCAAAGAGAATGATACTGCTGTTCATCAGACTATTTCTTACTTTTATTCCATCTGTGTTAGCTCAGAACCCTGGAGTCTTCCACATCAGGCCAGAAAAAGGAGGTGATTACTGTTTCCTTTTCCCTTCACAATGGATAAAATCATATCAGGAAGACAACAAGAAACACTGGTTTGACCTTCAACCATTTACTCAGAACTTCACTTATTCAGCTATGTGTTGCTTGCCTTCATTCTTTGGGGAAGATGACAATGATGGTGGTGGATTTAGTACAAGAATTGCATCTATCAGACAGGGAAATTGCAATCTCTTTCAGAATGCAAGACTCCATCAGATTAATAGTACAGAGGGGCTTCTGATACTTGGTGGAGACGCTCCATATCCAATGAAAAGCTTGAGATCTGGATACAACTGGGGTCACTGTGAAGAGATTAGCCTCCCAGGATTTATGCTCAGTGATGTGGATATCCTTTATTTAGTCTTCAAAAATCTGATTAGAAATTTGTTACACAAAACTGGAATAATCTACTTGATGGTAATGAGCACAGTCACCATAGGAAGCTACTGGGCAGGAAGCACAGAGAAGAAAAAACAAGACAATATAAAAAGTCAGGGCC